TTTCCTTGTATCCTGTTCTCTTCATTCTCCCTTGCTCCCGAAGGGATGAGACCAGTGGAGTATCTTAGATGGCCGCTCACAGGCTTTTAAGACTCCAGACTCTACTCACCAAGGTAGAATGCAGAGCATTGTCTTTATAAGCTGTGTCATGCCAATTGAGCTAGATGTTCCCTGAGACCATGGTCCCCACAGACAGGCTGATTTTTTTGAAGTGGATTACCAGATCCTTCTTGTAAGACGACTCTGGGTGGATTTAAACCTCCAACCTTTCGGTTAACAACCGAGTAGTGTAGTAGTGTAGGCATAGGCCAGAGCAAACATCAACAGTGATGGTGACACCACATCCACAAAAGTCTCAGTTAAGGAAACCATGGGATTGTTTCCCATAAGAATCTGAAACTAATTCAGCATCTTCTTGTAGATAATCCAGACTTGACTGCTGGTGGTCGAGGTTTGCATATGAAGTTTTGTGTAATGTATAGGTAAATCTCTATATGACTGTTCTCTGTGCTGCCTAGACCTGGGTGGGGTTTTGTTGGTCAATTGTCAGAAGTCTCATCTTTGGGATTTGGGCCGCCCCTTCACCTTGCTCTCTCAGCACTTTGGTCCAGGCCCATTCTCTCTCTGCTAACAAAGATTGGAAATGTGGACACCTTGCAATACATTGGAGATGCCTGAGAAAAACTCACTTAAGTTCTGAAAACACTGCTTCACTTATTTTCTCTGTAACCCTCACAAGCTCCTCTTGCTCGAAAACTGCACAGTGCACATCTCTGTTCTGCCTAAGATCACCACCACCACTTCCAGTCCGGGATTAGTTCTCCTAGGGACCCATTGGTGTGGGGGTGGTAAGAACAAGCTGGGACCTTTGGCATCCGTGGTGACATGACTGAAAGGTGACAGCTCCATCAACCCCTGGAGAGATGGGGATAGGAAAGGGTGGCACAAAATCAGTGGTTGTCAGAGGGGGCAATTGTCTGGAGACATTTTTGTTGTCACAACCGGGGGTGCTAATGGTTTCTAGTGGGTAGAGGTCAAGGATGGTACTAAACATCCTATAAAGCACAGGACATCCCCCTACTACAAGGAATTATCTGGTCTAAAATGTCAATAGTGCCGCTGTTGAGAAATGCTGCATCAAAGCAAGAGCTTATCTTATCTACTCCTCTACTTAGGAAAGGACCCTCAGCTACAGTGATAATCCTTACAGCTGGGCTGAGTGTAGACCCTTCTGAATATGATAAAGTATAAGTTTTTAGTAGTTTTTTTTGCTTGTTGTAAAACAGAAGTACCCTTTTACTCTGAGCAAAGTCATAGAAAACAACAAAGGCTAGCAGTGTGGCCTTATGGGGTACTTCCTATACTGGCCCAGACAGACAAAAGAATCCTTTCAGCGTTTAAAGTTCTTCAGGGAGGGGAGCCATCCACAGTTTACTGTACATGGGTATCACCTTGGAAGCTTGTGAAAAATGCCTATTCCTGTATTCCAGTCCGAGACATTCTGAATCATTAGGCGTGGGGCAGGTCGCAGGAGTCTTAGTATTCAATAGTTACTTGGGATTCTGGGAAGTGGTCCAGGGCCACAATTGTTCTTTCAACCTGTCCAGTGCAGTGCCCTATTTCTGTAGCTTCAGGCAGTCCCTTCCTGTGTGTTCAGAGCTGTAGTTCATGCTCCCTGTGTGAGGGGTAAATTATACATCTCAAAGTAGGGAGGGGGTTCCAGACATCCCTAAGGGTCAGGGCCAACAGGAATGCGCACATCTGCTCTGGGGAGGTCTTCTCAGCCACCCTTCCCAGAGGCACCATTCCAATTCAACTGCACAAACCCTGGTGAGTACCCACTACGGTAGGCTCTGTGCAGAGCACTGGGAATTCACTGGCAACTCAGATTCACTCTTCCAGAAACCTCTCTTCTAGAATCATCCTAATTCTTCAGTCTCCATAAAATTCAGGTTCTTGGTGGGAGATTTTAGTCATTAACAGGCAAGAATCTTACAGTCTTGATGCTTTCACAAGACATAAGCTTATTCTCACCCCAAATTCCGACAGAAGCAACTGTAATTAAGGAAAAGAGAAACAGAGGCAGAAACACCAGGTCTGAGCAAATATCAGTCTGGGTCCCCTATGTGCACTTTGTGCGTTGTGAAATTAATCGAAGAGCAGACAAGTAGCCAGGCTCCTTGAAGTTTTCTTCCACCTCCAACCACCTGCCCACACCTCTGCCTGGCACCCAGACTTAGAGGAGGGTGATGTAGCGCTTTGAGCTCTGAAAGGTCTCTGGCAGGACTGGCTACATAATTTGCAGGGCCCAGTGCAAACACAATGAAATGCAGGATTCCTTGTTAAAAAATTAAGAATTTCAAGATGGTGACAGCTGAGCATTAAATCAAGTGCAAGGACCTCCTGAGCGCGGGGCTGCTGGGCAACTGTGCAGGCCACACACCCAGGAAACTGGTCCTGTCTCTGGGTGAAGAGATTCCACGTGAGTGCTTGGGATCCTCATCTCTTTTGTCACTTTTGAAATGTCTCTGTTGAAATGTGTCCTCTTTCTGTTCCAGGTATGAAGATGAGATCAACAAACGTACTACAGCAGAGAATGAGTTTGTGGGGCTCAAGAAGGTAGGTGAGCTGGGACGGCTGCTTCCAGGCTCCCTTCCTGGGGGCTACCCCCCTCTGAGAGGGTTGTGTTTCCTTACATTTTTGGAAATGGGGTGTTTGATGAAGGAAGGTGCTCTGAGTACATGCTGGTGTGGGAGACATCTTAAATGTTAATGTGACTAATGAGATGATTAGTAACGTAAATGAATAATGAGTGTTTTATGTCTAGCGTCAATCAAGGTTTTCAGCCTACAAATGTACCCTGGATGTTATTTTTTTAATGATTTTTTTTATCGTGGTAAATACACAGGTAACAAAACTTTCGCCATTTCAACAATCTTCACACGTACAGTTCAGTGACATTAAGTATGTTCGTCATGTTGTTCAATCATCAGCATTCCTGAATTTTTTCGTCACTCTTAACAGACGCTCAGTGTTCCCTAAACATTGTGTCTTCCTTTCTCCTTCCCTTCCTGGATGTTATTAATAATATCAATTAGCAAATACTTGTAGCTTGTTTAAACTAGCCATTCTAAAGATGAAGTAGTGAGAAGAATACCCTCTTTTCTATTCAGGAGGTTGGGTTTTTGGTACTATATAACCAAAGTCACATGCTAGGTAAATGTAACTTTTTTCTACCCTAAAAATGGATGGTTACTCTGTGCCTGGATAATATGGTTTGTATTATGTTAAAACAGTGGGGTTTGATTGATTGAAGCAATTGGAAGTAAGAAAACCACTTTGGTTTTCTTTCTTTTAAAAGGAAAGGGAAGGTGAGAAGTCACAGAAGTAGGCATAGCAGGGAAAGGGCAAAGAGGAGACCTGAGGGCTTAGGAAGACGCAATGGCATGAGGGGACTAGAAGGTCATTGCTTTGGGTTTCTGACCTCCCCTCAGGATGTGGATGCAGCTTACATGAATAAGGTGGACCTGCAGGCCCTTGTGGACAGCCTCATGGACGAACTGAACTTCCTGAGGACCCTCTATGAGACGGTAAGTCCTTGCTTTGCCCATTCCAGCCCCTTTCTATCTGTACCTCCCTAAGCATAACTTTAGGGGACAGTCAAGCAGCAGGACACTTACACAGCCAGCAACAGGGCTCAGAACTCAGCTCCACCCCTGGGAATTGCTAATTTAGCTCCCCAGCCTGCACAGACCTGACCCACAATTGTGCAGGGACCCTCTCTGTCCCCTTTATTTACCCTCTGTCATCAGCCCTCTTTGTTCTTCATCTTTCCTCTGGCTCATATACCAACACCACAACTTGCTCCTTCAGAATACTCCTCCTTACTGAGTCCCATAGAAACTCACGCAGTAGCTTCACAACCTGATTACAGTTACGTATTTCCTTTAGCCTTGTTGTCTGGCTTCCTTTGGGCTGTAGCCAGGCCTGAGATGCAAGCTTAATATTCTAAGTGTCCCACTCCTGGCCCCATTCTTGGGGTATCTCTGCCAGTAGAGGATTCTTGGACTTCTTCATCCCCAGCATCCCCTGCGGCCAGCAGCATGGGGAGTGTGACCATCCATGTTCCCTGCAGGAGCAGTCCCAAATGCAGAGCCACATCAGTGACACATCCGTGGTGCTGTTCATGGACAATAACCACTGCCTGGACTTAGACAGCATCATTGCCGAGGTCAAGGCTCAGTAAGAGGAGATTGCCCAGAAGAGCAAGGCTGAGGCTGAGGCCCTGTACCAGACTAAGGTGGGAGCCCTCCCTCTGTTCCCATACTCTAGGGGATACAACTTTAAGTCTTGATGACATTCCTAGAGAATGTGCCAACATTTTGCAAAACCATGTTGATGGGTTTATTATTTGTCAGCTTGGGGAGCTGCAGACCACAGCTGGCAGGCATGGTGATGACCTCAGGAGCACCATGAGTGAGATCATGGAGCTTAACAGGATGATCCAGAGGCTGCGGGCGGAGATTGAGAACGTTAAGACACAGGTGAGTCCAGGGTTTATGGAGAGTTCCTGGAGATCTTCTGGGCACTGGGGAGAAGCAGCAGCAGCTGTGCACCTGTGCCCTATACTCTCTCTGTCCTTTCATAGTGTCACATGTGGGATAGCACAGTCTCTGGAAACTTCTGCCCTCCCAGATGTTCCGTTCCTAACTTAGTTCTTAATGCTAAATAGTCCCTAAGGAGAGATAGTTGCTCATTCTGGTTTGCCTAGCAAATCTTGCAACTGCAGTGGTGGCCTTAAACACTCAGCTCTCAGCAGGATCTGCCGTCAGCTGAGTTATTCATCAAACTCTTCACACAACCTCCATGGCTGACTGGTATCATTGGAGTGAAATGACCAAGCAAGGGTTTTTTACACAGTCTTGCAAAAAAAGATCACAGACCTACCAGATCACTACTAACATTATCAGTCTAGGAAAGCAAATCATTGTCCTTTTCTTTGATGAGAGATGAATTAATTTCAATGGGCCAGAGATGAATGAACCCATTGTAAAATCAACTCCTGTTTTCTAAGCATGCCCTGTTGGGATTTCTAAGGAAGTGGAGACAGGAATGCTGGATGGGGAAGAGCTCTCCTCTCAGGAAAGACTAGGTAAGGTGCCTGCTTCTTGGTCACTATGCTAATTGGTCTCCTACTCCCCTCTTCAGAATGCCAATTTTCAGGCGGCCATTGTGGAAGCTGAGCAGCGTGGAGAGCTGGCCCTCAAGGACGTCAATGCCAAGCTCCAAAGCCTGCAGGCCGCCCTGCAACAGGCCAAGGATGACCTGGCCTGGCTGCTGCGCGAGTACCAGGAGCTCATGAATGTCAAGTTGGCCCTGGACGAGGAGATCGCCACCTACAGGAAGCTGCTGGAGGGCGAGGAGTGCAGGTGAGGGGCAGTGGAGTCAGCATTCTCCAGATATGATTTTATAGTGACTTTTGATAAGAAGGAAGCCCTGGTGGCGTAGTGGTTAAGAGCTACAGCTGTTAACCAAAAGGTTGGCAGTTCAAATCCACCAGGTGCTCCTTGGAAATCCTATGGGGCAGTTCTACTCTGTCCTTTAGGGTCACTATGAGTTGGAATCGACTTGACAGCAATGGGTTTTTTTTTTTTTGGTTGGTTTGATAAGAAAGAGAGCAAGGTGATAAGGAAAGGACAACTCAGTCCAAGGGAAAGTAGTCTCCTGAAAGACAGTTAAAGATTCGAGTCTCACTATTTTTTGCTAACCAACATCATTCAATTCTCATCTTTTTATTTATTTATTTTTTCCTATACAAAAATTTATACGTACTTTGTTATGTGACCCTAATTGCTCTCCCCATACTGTGACAGCACACTCTTCCTTCCCACCTCTGATTCCCCGTGTTCATTCAACCAGCTCCTAACCCTCTCTGCCTTCCCATCTCACCTCTGGACAGAAACTGCCCATTTAGTCTCTTGTATCCACTTGAGCTAAGAGGCACACTCCTCACGAGTATCACTTTATGTCCCACAGTCCAGTCCAATCCCTGTCTGAAAAGTTGGCCTCAGAAATTGTTTTAGTTCTGGGCTGATAGAAAATCCAGGGGCCATGCTTTCTGGGGTTCCTCCAGTCTCATTCAGACCATTAAGTCTGGTCTTCTTACTGGAATTTGAGTTTTGCACCCCACCTTTCTCCTGCTCCATCAGGGACTCTCTGTTGTGTTCCCTGTCAGGGTGGTCATTGGTGGTAGCCTGACACCATCTAGTTCTTCTGGTCTCAGGCTGATGAAGTCTCTGGTTTATGTGGGCCTTTCTGTCTCTTGGGCTAATACTTTCCTTGCATCCTTGGTGTTCTTCATTCTCCTTTACTCCAGGTGGGACCAATTGATGCATCTTAGATGGCTGCTTGCAAGCTTTTAAGACCCCAGATGCCACTCACCAATGTAGGATGCAGCAGCAGCAGCAGAAGCAGCAGCGGTGGCTACGGAGGAGTCAGTGGCAGCAGCAGTGGGGGCCGAGGCAGCAGCGGGGGCTACCTGAGTGGCAGCAGTGGGAGCAGGCTTGACAGGGGAGGCAGCAGCTCTGTGAGCCAAAGTGGAATTAGCTCCAGCTCTGGCAGCAACCAAACCTCTGGAGGCAGTGGCTACAAGTCTGGCAGTGGAGGCAGCACCAATGTCCGCTTCTCCCAGACCACCAGCTTCAGCCAGCACTACTCCAGGTGATCCTCTGGACCAAATCTCCATGTCCACTTGCTTCCCTCTCAGCCTGCACCAGAACTTCCCACTCTCTGCCTGACATCAGCAAATGCACACAGTTCAACCCTTGTTTTCCTCAAGTTCTCTGGAGAAAGGGCTGACTTCCTGGCTCCTTCGTATCCCAAACCTTTCCTGGGCCAAGGAGGTCCAGCTGCTAGTTTGGGATGATGATGCCCCTGGATAAGCCCCTGTGATGGCTCCTGACTTCGGATAGCAACACCAGGGCCCAACCTGGTCTGGGCCTTCCCAGCCTGGTCCATTCCCACTCTGGATCTTCTCTCTCACCAGGAGTTATGGGCTGAAGCCAGCACTTCTCAGCACTGCCTGTGGAGGGCAGTATAGAGGGTCAGTGCTGGAGCGTGGGCTAGTCAAGCTCTCTAGACTGTTGGTTACCAGCGTGCCCTCCCCACATCTGGGCATTGTGCCCTAACTCACCTCTGTCCTTTAATTCTCTGAGTTGTGGATCCTCTTTGGTGGTGAGCATACTGCACTTTCTTTTCTCAATAAATTGCACTGTATTTCACATCTTGGGGTCTGGGTCTCACTGAAGGAGTCAGCAGAATAAACCAAAGCCTAAAAGTGAAGGGAGATCAGTGGGGGTTGTGATCTTTCCGAAGTTCAATAGTGGGTATAAAGGAAGCTGGGTATAAAGGAAGCTGAATAGTCTTGGCTTCTCCTTTACCCATTTCATTGGGTTCTTGTGATAGGTCTGTCCAAGGGCATTCATGGAGTTTAAGTGGGGATCTTTCCCACTCCTAAGTAGGTCATCTGATCCATCCTCTTGCTTCTGAGCAGGTGGCCTCTGTGCTCCAGTCTTGGAAGAAGAGTGTTCTGCAGTTCATCAAGGGACTAGATTCCACTGGGACTGTGGCTCTTTTGCATCACCCCTGCCCCAGCCAGGCACAGAGCAAATTCTCTTTCTGCAAACACAGCTCCTGGGATTTGAATGGGCCAATATACAACACACCTCTCTCTTCCCTGCCCAGGTTCTAACCCAATTAAGAGATAAAAGAATAAGGTAAATGGAGAACCAAAATATTGCCTTCATTGCAAACAAAGCAGATATTGGAGAATGTGGCTTATGCCTTTGGTGAAATGGATTTCCTATTCCAGGACCTCAGGATTAGGCCAGATTTCCCACCTGGACAGAGGAAGCATGGGGCTACCACAGCCTTCCTTATGGGGTCAGACACCCTGCAGTTGATAGGAGAGCAGAACACATAGGTAGTTATACCCTGAGACATGGAGTGGCTGAGCTATGTGTGCCTAGTTCCTCCTTTCAGACTCACCAATCAGGTATGACAGAGGGTGGGACTGTTAGACTAATGAAGCTCACTCCAGATGGGTGTAAAATTAAGAACGGGAAAGATGCATTTGTGCCCTTATGCCAGCATTTCCCAGTTGTTCTCAGAAAGCTGAAACCCAAACTCGGAGGACAGGGGTAATGAGGCAGCCACTGAGATTTGGTTAGGGAAACTGAGGGCTTTAGTGGACATGACAATTAGGGTCTCTATTCCTTTCTCCATCCCTCAAACCAATCTCATCTGCATGCCTTTGAGCATGGTAAGACACTGGTTTGTAAGTCACTGTAGATCATGTATTACCCCCCAGAAGTTGGGCCAGGGCTGGACTAATGAGAGAGCGTCTTTATTTGTCTGATGGCCCAAGAAGGGCCTGGCCTTCATGCTTTGAGCCCAAGATGGGCCTGTCCCCTTCTAGCTCATGCTATCTGTTCTCCAAAGCCTAGCAGCCCTGGTCTCGAGACTTGGAGAAGGAGACATTTTAAAGTTCCTACACTTGAGAGTTGAATAAATTCTTGCCCACCTTTTCAAGGCATACAGCAGAAGGTAGCCCCTTTCCCTACTTACTCTTAGTACTTTGGCAGCAGGGGGAGGGAGTTCTTTATTGCTTATCTTATTTAACTTTCAGAGACATTGAAAGAAACATCATCAACCCCCAGGAAAACTGCCCAGTTGCTCAGCTGCTTGTGTTGCCTAACTTATAGGGAAGAGGTTGAACTGTCCTGGTTTAGGCCAGCCTCTCATTAGACTGGGATGGCAGGGTTTGGGGATGGTCCTTCAATCTCTTTACGCATTTGGGCAATGTGTGTGGAGAGCTCAGTCCTGGGCACTGTCTCAGGGCCCTGCACAGGGTGTGGGATGCTCACTGAAAGTTTGGTAGTCATCTGAAAAAATGAATAGAGATGAGGACAGAGTGACAACCCCAGTCTGAAAGGAAGATGGGATAGGTCACATGTCAAGGCAGGACCAAGCTGAAAGTTGACAGTGAGGGTCCACTTGTGAAGAAGGATGGTGGAGGTGGTGAAAGACTGAAAGAAACTTGGACTTGAGGGATAGGTCACTCATGAAAGTCATGTTGGAGAGGAAGCTTAGAGCAGGCTGGGAAGGAAAGAGAGTCTGGAAAACATGGAGGAAGGGCAAGGGGATAGGGTTCAGACCTTCAGACCAAATCCCAGAAGAACTCCAGGACTCCCATCATGCTCCATGTCTGTGGCACATAGATAGCCTCCAGAGTGAAGGCATCGTGTCTGAGGCCAGGATAGAGGATGGGGAGGAACAGACTATTTCTAAGTCTGTGGAAAACAGACATTCCTGAGCTTTCTGAGTCTTACAGAGTCCCTCAAATTCACTTCCCATTTGAAATAAAACTGAGGAGGGGAGGCTGCAGCCAGGGTGGGCAGAGTAGGTATTTACCGGTTCAGAATGGTCAGAGGGGTGACAAGAGTCTTCCCAAATTGACACTTGAAATCCTACCATTTATGTCTTTAGGATTAAACAGTCTCTCCTGGTGGCAACTGCTTCCTTATTCTCCATCCTTTATCTTTATTCTTTATCCTCTGTTCTTCTCTCCTTTTAAAACTTTTTTTGTCTGGATTATAAAAGCAACATACACTTATAGCAAAAGTGCATAAAATATAGCAAAGTAAAAGAAAAGAAAATAAAGATCACTATAATTCTACCACACCATGATATTTTTCTATGCACACACACAGACACACACAAAGAGAAATGTATATATAAATAGATCATATTTACAGAGTAGACTCTTACAATACCCACTGTGTTATAACCCGATTTTCATGTAATCTATTGTGGAATTCATCCATTTAGCCATTCAACAAATATATTGAGTGCCTACCATTGTCAATCCACATGCTGAGCAAATAATCCAAGAAGTGGTTTAAAATCAGGAAAGGTATGCGTCAAGGTTGCATCTTTTCACCACACTTATTCAACCTGTATGCTGAGCAAATAATCTGAGAAGCTGGACTATATGAAGAACTTGGCATCAGGATTGGAGGAAGACTCATTAACAGACTGTTTTACGCAGATGACACAACCTTGCTTGCTAGAAGTGAAGAGGACTTGAAGCACTTACTGATAAAGATCAAAGGCTACAGCCTTCAGTATGGATTACACCTCAACATAAAGAAAGCAAAAATCCTCACAACTGGACAAATAAACAACATCATGATAAACAGAGAAAATATTGAAGTTGTCAAGGATTTCATTTTATTTGGATCAACAGTCAATGCCCATGGAAGCAGTAGTCAAGAAATCAACCGATGTTTTGCATTGGGCAAATCCGCTGCAAAAGACCTCTCAGAGGTGTTAAAAAACAAAGATGTCACTTTGAGGACTAAGGTGTGCCTGATCCAAGCCATGGTATTTTCAATCGCCTCATATGCATATGAAAACTGGACGATGAATAAGAAAGACTGAAGAAGAATTGATGCCTTTGAATTATGGTGTTGGCAAAGAATATTGAATATACCATGGACAACTAGAAGAACGAACAAGTCTGTACTGGAAGAAGTACAGCCAGAGTGCTCCTTGGAAGCGAGGATGGTGAGACTTCCTGGAGATGGGCATCACGCTTGCTAAAGTAGAGAGTCAGCGGAAAAGAAGAAGACCCTATGGCTGCAACAATGGGTTCAAACATAACAACGACTGTGAGGATGGTGCAGGACCAGGCAGTGTTTCCTTCTGTCATACATAGGGTCGCTATGAGTTGGAACTGACTAGATGGCACCTAACAACAACATCAACCATTTTCCCAACACTGTGCTGGGCACCAGAGATAGAGTGGAGAACACAAGAGACATAGTCTCTGCCCTCACAGAGTTTACCATCTAGGTGGTAGAAATTAAGCAAATAACATCATTTCATAACAATAAATATAGATGGAGATCATTAGGTTTTCAGTGAAGATTCTTAGTCTTACTTAAAAAACAAAAATCAAAGGTACACATTGGGAATTAAACTGCTGTTTTTTCTCTTTCTACCAAACATTTTACTAAAACAAAGCCAGACAGATGATCATTAAAGCTACGTCCTCTTACTCATGCTGAACTAGACCAGTGGAACATATTTTGATAGGAGAGATTTTGACAGGAAGGAAGATATTGCTGGAATTGCACAGCTTAAATAATCACATTTTTCCTAAACTTGCTCCTACCTTATCCAAAAACTTAATGAACTGATTTATACAGAATGATTTTAAGCGAATTTACACAAACTTAATATACTATAAGACAAGGATGCCTTTTGGTCAATTTCCAGCACAAGGCTTATATTCATTGGAATCCAGTAAAATAGGAACTCCAATGTAGAAAGCATTTTGCCTTTATAGCACTACCAACTGAAAAAAAGTACACATAATTTAATACTTTAAGTGGGCAATCATGGAAATTCTAAGATTAGATCATAGATTAGCTTGAGTATCCATCTATATTTTTTCAAAGACGATGACTGGAAACAGTGGGACCACATCAGGACTAGCAGAAGACATAGTAATGAAGAAACTGCAAACCAAGGCTAGGAGTTGATTTTCACATGTAGGTTTTGGGTAAAGCACATCGCTTTCACTTGATTCCCTCAGCCAAGACTCATTTTCCCATAGTGGTGGTCGCAAAATAGGAAATTCGAAAATCTCAAGACAGGAGC